TATGCTATCTTGGATTTGGTGTATGTATCTTTGAGAACAAATTTAAGAGCTAATAAATCATTTTAATATATCTTTTTTTTTTTTTTTCTTCGTATAAGTCAATTGGTGTTTAATTATTTTTTCCCTTTTGTTCTCATGTACTCAGTATTTTGGTATAAATGTCACTTATCTCCACCTACAACTGTCTTGTCTTTTTTTTTTTTTTGGACTTGTGCATGTCATACTTTGTATTAAAAAAATAGCCTTGTTTTTATACCCCTGTGTTCTTTCCATTTACAACCATCTGCTTGCCTGTATGTCTGGATGTTTACACCCTCTTGTTTTTGCCTATTCACTATAATTGGGCAAGGAAATATCTTCCTTTTTCTCTTGCCCCCTCGTGGTTTCTATTGATATTCTCTCTCTCTCTCTCTCTCTCTTTTTAACTTGATTCAACATTCTCTCTGGTTTGAAATGTTGATAGGAACTTTATCCAGCTCATCCATCATTTTGTACATTGACATTAAAGCCATTGCTTTCTATCTTCTGTTCCTTATTTAAAACAAATCCAAGTGAGTCATCCCCTTCACTCCCTCGAGATATAATATAGATTCTTAATGTTGTATCTGATTATAAAATCAAGTCTAGAATCACTGTCTATAACGTATCTAATGCAGTATTCCTCCCTATTCCTCAATTTATTTTGATATTTAGAAAAAGGAAGGCAAAGAAAAATAAAATAATAAAGATACATTTTATTTCTTGAATGCTATCAGCTCCTTAAAGATGTTCGCTAAAATTGAGATATTCAATTACTTTTGTTTCTTTTTTAGCATTCTTAATTAAATGATTTTTTTCTGATAAAAATTTGATGTTATAAAATAGCACTGACAAAACTCCACTGCATCTTCTATATATCTCTTGTCAAAAATCTATTGAATGTCATTTCAATCTCTCTTAAGTAAATCCAGTAAAAATTATTAAGTGAATTTGAGAGCAATTTGGTTATCTTCCTGATGTATAAATATGCATTGCAGTGAAAAGAGAATTGCAATGTTTATCAGTTTTTGATTGGCTATTGAGAAAAATTCTTCTGTTTGCCTCTTGTAAAAAATCTGTTTTAATTATCTTTTGTTCTTAATGAGTTAAACAGATTGACATGAAGCTGATATGCAGTGTCCTACCACTGAGTACATTCAGGTAGAAATACCATTAAATGATTCTTGCATGATTTATGTAATATATGCACATGTACAATTTTCATTCTCTGTTGTGGTCAATTTTGGACTTTATTTCCAAATTTCAGCTACCAAATATTCTGGAAGTCTGATATAATGAAATATGCATACACCCGAGTTCCCCCACTGGAATATGATTGGCTGGTGTCCGTCATAAATACAGACGGGTGTGTAGGTACGACAGTTTAAGTCTATGGCGATGCCCATCGGACTACGCCATTGGCTATCCTATTGGTCTACACCTATTGCCTAAGCATATTACCTGCGGCTACGACAAGTACTGGTCGATTACTGCTACCGTTTACTACTTGGTTATGGTAACCAAAACCACTTAGCTACTTCGATCAAATATATCCCTTTCTGGGACATATCATCGACAAAAGATGATCCTGATGAAAGAATATTCAAATGCAGAAACAATTCTTACGATGAATATATTAAATTTTATAACACCTTGGAATGGCCTAAAAACAATACAGGATATATATATATATATATATATATTTTATTATATATTCAAGTCGAAATGTTTCTATCTGCATTGGAAGTTTTTAAAACACATCCCCTGAATAAATTTAAGCATTTCACTTGGAAAATCTTTTTTTTTTTTTTTCTTTTTTTATTTCACCTTGAAGTAACAAAACACAGAAACTATTCGCAATGAAAAAGTATTTATTGATTAGTCTGATTTAGTCTGGGTTATCAATATATTCCTGTCATTACCTTTTGAAAAAACTCTGTGCTTAATTGAGAGCAGTTAATACGAAACCTGTCATCAGAGGAAAAAAATAAGCTTCTTGTTCAGACACCAATCACCCCATTTCATGAAATTACAACAAAGGAAACGGCTAATTTCTTCTTTTGAATACAACTTTTTTTTCTTTGTCTTCACTATTCCCTAACTATTGTAAAATTGTTTTTTTTTTTTTTTTTCTTTTTTTTGCCTTCTTCCCTCACCCCTCCTCTTCCTCAACCTTCATTAGCTTCTACCACTTAACGTGAGGGGGTGGTTGAGCTGGATCACAGACAAATGATACTAATTCAAGATCACACACTAAAATTATAGGTGAATACTAGCAAAATGCTTGTAATACCACCATTCTGATGCTACTATTTGTGGCATGGTGACAGTTTATTTTGAGAAAGAAAGACAATGACTTGGAAGGAAATACCAGAAGACTTAAAGAGTTAAATGAATTGGGGAAAATTCATCTTAACTCAAGAATTTTGTATGAGTGGGAGTTAAAAAGCTTGTAAACTCATGTATCCAGTCAACTTAGCATGTAATTAAGCTACAATTAAGTTGCCTCGCTCCTTTCACAAAACAAAACAAAAAAAAAATCATTGTCTTCCCCTTCTGCTGGCAGATGATCTCTGTTGTTGTGAACTTGTTGTACATAACGATAAAGGGTCTTCCTTTTTTAGTCAGCAAATTGCATCATTCACCTGTTAATTTGACAACTTTACCAGATAGAAAAAGTCTTCTTTTTTTTTTTCTTTTTTTTTTTTGTTTTATTTTAATTATCCCCCCACCACCAACAATGTTCTTTTTTTCTTTTCCATTTTCTTACAGATAAAATGACTTATTTCTTGTCCCTCTCTTTTTTTCTATATTCCATATCTAAAAAAGGGGATCTTGTCACTGCTTGAAACATTTTTTTTTTTTTTTTTTTTGTTTTGTTAACTGGAATCTATATATTTATCTACTGTTACCCAAATTAATGCCATTTGATTGAACAAACGAGAAATAAGTTTCATATCTTTGGGGGAGGGTCTTTACAATCACTGCAACCTCTTTTTTTTTTTTTTTTTTTTGTCTTTTCTCACATTTTCATGATACGCGTCGGTCTGAATGCTATATAGTTACGTGTTGTTGTGCATTTTGTACCCACGCATATCTTTCCCCAAAAAATTAATGTTTTCCCTGTCGTCATCTGAAAAATGTTTGGATGGTTCTCTTCCAAGAGTCTTGACACACTTTTCTTGCCTGTTACTTTCTGCCATAATTTATTTCTTGTTGTTGCCACATTCAAAAGAGGCAGCAATGTTGGGTTAAATATGAGGGGGGTCACATCATCTGCTAACAGCTCCCCCCCCCCAACAATTTTCCCTTCTTTAGGGCAAAAAAAAACACAGATCCCTAAATTCTCTGCTTTCTTATCTACCGTATGTATGTAGGGACATAAATTTTACCTCCTCCTCTTCGACTACCTATTTCTCCGTCACTCGCTCTCTCATATATATATATATATATATATATATAGTTACTGGTTCTCTTTTTTTTTATATTCCGCCTTCTCTTCTGCACATTACTGATTCCTTTTTGTCCGGTGTATTTCTTTCATGAGCTACTCGCAATTCATTGTATATTATCTTGAATTTATGAGGCATTGTCCATTGTTATTCATTTTTTGACTATTATTTCCTTAATTTTATTTCTGTTGCTTTTATACCTTGTTGTAATAGTCCTAATGTGTCTGAATTTCTTAGATGAAGCATTACCAATTATTCTTATTATTCTTATTATTCTTACTTTTTAAATAGTATTTCTTTCATCTTCAAATCATTCAGTTATCATATCTTCTCGGGCTCCTACTGATGTTGATCATAAAACATTGAAGACAAAAAATAAAGAAAAGAAAAAATGCTTTCAGACTCCATCACTTTTATGCCCTCATTGAAAGGTTATTTGAGCAGCTGTAATAAAAAGCAACAGAAATTAAGATGAAAGAAATGAGTTCAAAATTAATAATAATTGTTTGTTTACACATATTAATGTCTCTTTGTTACGAGGTGTGGTTATGTGTTTGCGTTTGGTACATGTGTTTGTTGGAAGGAAATATGTTCTTATGTCTGTCTAAACATATGCTTCCATACAGCTTTTACGCCCCCCCCTTATCTATAATTCCATTTGTGTTTCTGGATCAGCTGAACCAATTCTCCCTGGCCCCCATTTACTGTAAGTGACATGTACAATCTTAAAAAACACATCATGTTTTCACCAAACAGATACCTATCATTTTAGTTCTATTCTATCATTTGGTTTTCATTACATCAGGGAGTGTAGTTAGATTTAGGGTACTTCTCTCAGACATCCCTTCTCCCATCTCCAGACCTCATTCTTGTCAGTCATGTCTCTGTAGGGAAAAAGACGTTTGCGCTGTAGTTTTTTTTTTTTTTTCTTTTATACATACAGGTAAGCTGTATTTCTTGTCTATTGGCAAAGTATCAGAAACTGTCAAAATCTAAAATAACAATGGTAATTTGAAAAAAAAAGAAGAAAAAAAAAAAAGAAAAAAAGTTGTTTATCCAAAAATATTTTGGTGAACAGCCGATAACATTTTTCTTTTGTATTCTTTCTTTTTCTCTTAGTTTTTTTTCTTTGCTTTTTGAAATTGTTTCGTTTTTCAGTTTCATTATTTATGTGCCTAATGTTTATTATTTTTACTTGTTTCGGCTGAAATTACAGCTTCATTGTTAATTTTTTATCATAAAAATTTGTCGGCAATGGTTTTTTGCAAAGACTTTCTATTTTGTTTTTTTTTAAAAAGAAACCTTAAAAAATGACATCAAAATGTCTGTTCCTCATGAGAAATGTTTATCGTTTTTATTAAGTGTTTCATCTAACGTGATTTTTTTTTCTGCTTAATGATAATTAACATTTCTATATAATTGTAAAAGTGACTTATTTTCTTTTCAAAAATTGGGAGAAAGTGAGGAATTTGTTGCCAGAAATTTTGTGATTTTTGCTTTCCATAACGTGTACGTTTTCTGTTTGTACAGACCCTGAATATTTGCCACGTGAAGTGAGTAATCGATTGCTGGCCCATGACCGACCGGCTCAGTTGGGGCCTGCTTCATACATGAGGACAGAAATGCATCAGCATCAACATCAACATATGCATCAACACCAGCACACCCACCAACATACGATTGGTTTGACTCCACCCTTCTCGCCATCTCTCGTACCCAACAATGCACAACATCTGGTAAGTTGGACATCTTTCTTTTTTTTTTTTTTTTTTTTTTTTGTCCTAGTAGCTCAAAAGCTTCACCTTAGAAACCAGTCTTGCATTAGATTTGAAACAAGTCTTTCAGCCAATACTCACTTCTTGCTTTACAAATATTGTTTTCATTCCAACCCCACCTCCTTCAACTCCTTCTTCACTACAGTCTCCAGTTGAAAAAATAGAAGCTGCAATTTTACCCTGAACAAACTTTATACACATAATTTCAACCAGGAGAAATTATGTTGAGTTTGGGAAAATGCTTAGCCTACCAGATATTTCATTATTCTTCTTTCTATGTTTCTTTGAAATGTTTGTCTAAATTCGTTTGAAAGAAGCTAATTAAAATCATAATAAAATATTCTCAAACTATGTCACACTTCAACAGATATTAACTTTTTTGTATTTATTTTAATTTTAATTTTTCAGGTTTTTTTTTTTTTTTTTTTTTTTCGCAATTAAATTTAGCTTGCTAATTTACAGCTCATGTTGTTTATATTGTTGATGAAGAAATAAGATAAGTTTCTAGTTAGATTTGAACTTGCATTCATTTTGTTTCAAGAAAGCTCAATTCTTTCAACTGCTTGGTTACAACAACTTGACATTTTTGTTGAACAACAAATCTAAACTATAAACCTATAAAGAACCAAATTTGTTTTTATTTTAGTAGTTTTAATAGCAGCAGTAGTAGTTTTATTTTATTTTTTATTAGACAAGAATTTTTTTTGCAACACGCTGACACATGTTGAAATCCTTACAGTATTTAGCACCGTTAAAGTTATCACTAACATTTTTTGTTGAGATTTACAATCTCTGTTTTGTTCAATTTTCAATGAAGTTTGTGTAAGATGAGAAATACTTGGACAAAACCCTAATCTGTGGTTTTTACGCACACTGGTAAAACCAACTGTACCCCTAAATTTGGTTTTGATCAGTCAATGTATGGCTATTTTAGAGAGTGTGATGGATGGATGGACTAAGAGAAGTCACAGGATTGTGTGTGTATATATATATATATATATATATATATATATATATATATATATGAGGCATCATCAAACCTTATTAAATTTTGTAGTTCTATTTACTTCCACTTTTATTTTTAGTTACTTTTTATTGTAACTTTTACTTGGACAATCTGTTCTATAGCAGTGAAGAATTGGACTTTTATTAAGTTATCATAGCTTTGTAGTCAAGACCACTGATTTTTTCTTGAGTTCCAGTCTATATTTTTTTTCATTTGTTCTTGAAATGTATATCTGTTCTTTTATCTTCATTTTCTTTTTTTTTAGTGAGTCTAAAGCCATTATTATCAAACTAAGATTTTCCCTCCAACATTAAGTAACTGTATTAGTTTCTATTAATTTATCAAATTTATTGGGAGATCAAAATTAATGCTTAAAGATATTTCTTTCTACTGAACCTGAAATTGATTTCAAGAATTGTGAAAACATTTAAAAAAAAGCATATCAGTCAGTTATAGAATTATTTTTTTTTTAACATTTGAAAAAAAATTGAGTTCAAACCTACACAGGAAAGGTGAAGGATATTTTGTTTTTCATTAATTTTACATAACATATATGGAATTTTACATACTATATATGGAATTAATCCAGAAATATTTTAAAGTTTTACTTAATGTATTTTATTTTAATTTCTTTTAATTATAAAAAGTTTAATTATATTTGTTAGAGTTGATAAAAGTGAAATTCAATTATTTTCTATAAAAAGATGTTTTATTTAACAAAAGTTTATTTTTTCTAAAATCGGTTTTATAAGTGAATGGTTTTTGCAAGTGAATGTTTTGTTCTTTTAAATATTGTATAACAATCAATGGCTAGACATTAGCTTTGAAAGACTGGCTTATGATTAAAATGAAAGAAAACTTGTGGACACTATGAGAAATTTAGCAAATGAATTTTCAGATTTGAGAATCTTTAATATTCCTCACAAGATGTTTTAATTTCTTTCAAACAGTCATTTGACAATAGAATTTGATTAATAGGTGACAGGTGTCCAAATTTTATTTCCCTCATTAATAGGCAGTAATGTAATTCTGTGTTTAAATTATATCTTTCAAGTATTATATAAAGAAGTACTGAGAAACTTCTAAGAATGAATTTAAAAAAGAATTTTGGTCATTGGGTCAGATTTTTGGAAGTTGGTCAGGCTGTGAACTTTTCAACACCCTCTTGTACATCTTGTAGTTATTTTCTTATTTATTTATTTATTTATTTATTTTTTTTTTTCAGTAGCGCTTCTCTTAATTTGTGACCAATTACTTTATCTTTCAATGAATAACGTACAGGTTAATTACCAAAAACTTGCTTAAATTTTGCTAAATTCTATCCTTATTCATCAATTTTAGTCTACAGAATAAACCAGACAATGGAGGAGTAATGATAAAGTCAGTGGGTAGTGATTTCTTTTTTTTTTTTTTACAGTAAGGCTCTCACTGTACAAGGCCTGGGAACCACTTGAGGTATAGGGTTATGTTAAGGAACAGTTTATATGGATATAAGATTAACAGGTTAAGATTCTAGCAATTGGTGAAACATCCTTTTGGGAGACTGTTCCTCAGAGCTGTGGTTTGTGGGATGAAGCTGATTGAGTGTGACTTCTCGCCAAGGGAATATGGGTGGTTTGCTACTATGTAAATTGCATGGTGGGTCCTAGCCATGAACGTTAGACCTGGTGGAACCACTTGCCTGTGTATACCAATTTTCAACAAGGATGTTTTAAGGAAAAGGGGGGAAACGAAAAGAGCATTTATATGCAGAATGAGAAAGATGTTTGAAATATCTTGGACACATAATGAGGAAAGGTAGTCTTGGAAAATTTGATGCTTAATAACAAAAGAAATTAAAAGAGGTAGCAGCAGGCTGCGTACATGACACACTTATATTAATGGATATTAAGACAAGGTGTAGAAGGATGGTAAAAAAGATAAACATTGCTAAGAGTTACAAAGGATAGGAAGCTGAGGGGAGCTATGATCTCCCATGTCCTGAAGGGACATGACACATAGAAGATATCAGTTTTAAATTCTGTTCAATGGAATTATTTTTATTTTATTTTTCACCCATCAGATTCTGCAGCATCACGTTTGAAATGATTCTTAAAATGAAAGTTTTGATGTGTTTAAAAAAAATTTTTTTTTATAAACTGTGTGATATAATGATTGAGAAAAAGAGTTTTAGAAAATATTTTATTGAATAAGTAAAGTTATAAAATTAATCTTCAGAATTTCTAATAATTTGTTATTTTTGTCTGATTTTCTGGGATCATTATGATATTTTTGTCTCTGTGATATCAGTTATTGTTTGTTCATGATGAATTGGTGTTTCACTACCAGATCCAAGGATTGAACACTAAATGACAGGAACACACGTATAACCAACTCCTATATCCACTATGCTACCATCCTGAATGATAGTGGTGTATTTTTGGAGCCTTTTATATTTGGTGTCAGATGGTTTTGACATTTGGTTATGATGGTGGGTTTGTACCGCTTTTCTTAATTGAGTCTATCATTTCCGAGACGAGTAATTGTCGATATTCTTGGATTATTTCAGACTATTTTCTTCACCTTGGTCAATATAGACGTTATCATAGACACAACTTTATTTCTATTAGGATTATTGTCCTCATCTTTATTGTTATCATCTGGGCAGAGTGATAAACACCTGTAGAAGGTCGGCATGCACAGTCAAAACTTGATAACAACAACAAAGATGAAGACAATAGTTTAAATATAAATAGTATAAATGTTTTTCAATATCCATTTTTGTTTTTATATGAAGATAAAAAATTGAGAACTGTTAGCATAATTCAAGACTTCATTTGTGAAAAGAGAAGTAAAAAAAAAATAATAAAAGCTATAACTGGGGTGTAGTGAGCTTCTTGCATATGTTTAATCTTTTCTTTCTTATATTCTTGGAGCTGTATATTGTTAGCTGACAGTTTAACGATAACTGATTACCTCTGCAGCTTTGTAGCCGCACGATGTGTCATAGACAATTCTGTCAACACGGCATATTTGCTGACTTCCTGTTTTGTTTTGTTTTTCTTCCACTTTTTCCTCTGCTGCGGTTCCTGCAGATTTTGGTACTGGGAAACTTGCTTTGACAGAACATGAAAAACACAGGTGCCTTAGTGATTGATAGAAACCAGACTTTAACCAAAGCACATACCACATTAATGTATCCATGGGGTCATTAATCACTTCTACATGTTTGTGTGTGTGGGGGGGGGTGTTAATTCACAGAGGCAGGTTTTTCAGCAGAAACACTTTCACAAAATCTTTGCACTTCCAGCATCTCTCTTCTTTTGCTTGCTTTCCTAGCTGTAGGGTTCAGTGTTCAATCCTGCTTTCTTCTTTCTTTTAGTTTTATTTTATTTTTTGTTTTTCATCTCACAGGGTCAGTGAATGAGATGGGTGGATTATCCTTTTGAAGGTTATTTAAAGCCAGAAAATATTTTTAGATTGTAAAAATTTTGAGGGGAGTTAATAATGATTTACTGATACAAGTCTTACTAATTAACCCATAGCTGAAAGGAGAAGAGGTGGATTCTTAACTTTCCCAAGGGTATTTGCCCATAAGTGAATATAATCAACCCAAAAGGATTTAGAACAAGGATCTCCGATTAACAATTCCAAGCCATTATCTTATCTGCTGTCTGCATATCCACACTTACAGCACCTGGTATTCTCAAGTGATCATTTGTCTAGGTACTGACCAGGTTTGACGTTGCTTAACTTTGGTGATTGTATGGGAAGCTGTATTTCTCTTAGATATTTACAATTCTGTAAGATATTTTTTTTTTCCTGTTTAATTTTTTAGTCACTTTTTGTCAGGCAATTAAAACACTGATTCTCATGGTCCAAGGTTACATACCACCCCTTTTTTATGCTAGGCTGTAAAATTTGAATGCAACACACAATTTCTTGAAAGTTTCAGAAAATGAAAAAAGAATCAACT